GTGATTAATCGCATCTAAAATACAGAAACATGTAATTTCTATTAAAAGCCTATTTAAATGTAAAATTAATGTAAACGCAAGACAAAAACTATTTAAATTCAAAATATTATTGTTTAATAGAATTTTTTTAACTTGTAACACAGATTTCTTCATGTGAACAACATACCCACAATAAACCATCAAGATCCTGGCTTGACAGCCATATTTATTACAGAAATTAAAACACAGGCATGTTAATGACATTTAAATTTCAAAACAATCAATACCAATAAAGAAAACATTGATATATATATATATATATATATATATATAGAGAGAGAGAGAGAGAGAGAGAGAGAGAGAGAGAGAGAGAATGAAAAGTAAATATTTACAGGTACTTGAGTAATTTTTTCATCAGATACTTTTTTTTACTCTTACTCTAGTAACTTTTAAGATTGTTACTTTTACTTGAGTAAAAATATTCTGCGAGTACTTGCACTGTTACTTGAGTATAGATTTTGGATACTCTTTCCACTGGTTCTGACAAGCTGTGAAGTCACAAAACAGCTCCTTTTTACACTCCCTGCTTTTTTCGTTTCCAAAATAAAAGTCCAACATACATGATATGTTTAATACAAGCTTATAAAAAGCACATGATGTTCTCTACCCATCCTGACACTAATTTGAAGCTGATGTAAATTGCATCAGTAGTGAGCATAAACTAATCCATTGTGTGTTTTTTTTTCAGTGAGAACTTTGAGAACGCAGATCTTCAGCATGACAACGTGGCTGCTCTTACATTGCCTTTGAGATACGCAGTTGATATGAATGTTCACGGGTGAGTTTTCTGTCTTGCTTATGAATCGAGGAAACCATGCATCTAAATGGACGTCAGAAGAATAACAGGTTCCCTTCATCTGCAGATTTGTCTCTCCGAATTTATTTATCATTGGAGAAGAGGAGTCTGTGCCGGTCGACTGCTATCCCGAGAAGTTCAATTATACGTACAAGGTATTTAAGTGCTCTCATCAGACAGACAACAGTGTCATTAAGCGCTAATGAATCGTTTAACATGATTTGTTTGGTTCAAATCTCTGTGAACTTGCAGGTGATGAATATTGGTCCTAGTAAAGCTCGTGATGCGAGAGTGAAGATCAGCTTGCCTCTGATGCTGGTGCTGTACAAACACCAGTTAATCAGGATTACAGATATACAGGTGAATACACACACACACGCTACTGTTTGAAAGAAAAATGAGTACTTTCATTGAGCAAAGATGCATTACATTAATCAAAAATGACTATGAAAACTAAATAATTGCAAAAGATTTATGTGTTAAAGAAATGCTGCTCTTTTGAAGTTTATATCAATATATACAGTAGTATTAGAATATACACCCACCGGCCACTTTATTAGGTACACCTGTCCAACTGCTCGTTAACGCAAATTTCTAATCGGCCAATCACATGGCAGAAACTCAATGCATTTAGGCATGTAGACATGGTCAAGACCAGGGATGGGCAAACTCGGTCCTGGAGGGCTGGTGACCTGCACAGTTTAGCTTCAACACTAATCAAACACACCTGAACAAGCTGATCAGTGTCTTCAAGATCACTAGAAATCTACAATCAGGTGTGTTTGATTAGAGTTGGAGCTAAACTGTGCAGGACACTGGCCCTCCAGGACCGAGTTTGCCCACCCCTGGTCAAGACGATCTGCTGTAGTTTAAACCGGGCATCAATATGGGGAAGATCGGTAATTTAAGTGACTTTAAATGTGGCATGGTTGTTGGTGCCAGATGGCCTAGTCTACGCATTTCAGAAACTGCTGATCTACTAGGATTTTCACGCACAACCATCTCTAGGCTTTACAGAGAATGGTCCGAAAAATAGGAACAGCCCAATGCACAAGTGGGTAAATCCGGCTACATATTTGACCCATGTATGTTGTTTCCCATTACTTACGTGGGACAGTTCACCCAAAAATGAAAGTGTCCACTTACTCACACTCAAGTGGTTCTAATTGTTTATGCGTTCTTTCTTCCATTGAACACAAAACATAGATATTCCGATTAATGTGTGAAAAAGCAGCTATTCACATCCGTAGTTGGAATAAAAATACAATGGAAGTCATTAGCAGTTTTTCCAACATCCTCGAATAGAAAGAAAACTGAAGAAGCAGTGTGTGCTGAGTAAATGAATTATGCCTTTGAAAGTCACATTTTAAAATGTTTATTTATTATTTATTTTGTCTTGCAGTCAACTCTTGGCCATTGCTTCCAGAGGAACAATACTATTCACATCATTGATGACTGTGATGTTCCGGAAGCGTCTGTCATTCAGGAACTTGTGTTCTTTTTCTCCCCAAAAAGCAAACGCATAATGGTAGAGTAACATACATGCTGATGAGTTCTGCAGTGTTTGGAGTGAAACGCTCTGACTCTCTGCTTTTCTCTAGTTCTGTGGTCCTGAAGATCAGACCTGTAGGACTGTGGAATGCCGCTTCGGGGATCTGGAGGCTGGAAAGGAGGTGACCATCAACATGGAGGTGGAGCTCAATCCCAGGGTTCTCCAGATGAGTCCGGTAAGTGTTTGCCACAGACAAGGATCACAAAGGCTGCATTTATACTGCACTGTTCAGTGACTCAATTCCGATTTTTTTTCTCCCATGTGGCACAGATCGGATATGGCCCATGTACATGTAAGCAGGAACAAATCACATGGATTCCGATTTACTCAAATCAGATTCAGGCCTTATTCATATGTGGAAATTTATCCAAAATTAATCAGATCTGTATTCTCGTGTCTGCAGTGTAAGCAGGTAGATCGGATTTCACCGGTTAATGCGAGTCTCATGTCATTAAAAGCCATAGCGAATGACGTCAAGTCAGACAAATGAGAACCTTTCTGTCATAAACTCGAGTAAAACAGCTTGTCAAAAGCTGTGAACAGATTTCAAACAGGAATGGAGAAAAGAGCACTCTTTAATAATCCCCAATCGCCTAATCTTTTTTTTCCTGGTCATTGCGCCTTTGCCGTGTGCTGTGTAAATGCAGAAGATCGGATATGAGTCAGTTTTAAAAGTGGATGGAAGCAGGTCATAAAAAAATCGTATACAGTCACAAAATCAAGATTGATCATCAAGATCTGCAGTGTAAAAGCAGCCTTAAATCGACTGGAAGAAATTGCATCACTCAGTTCATATGAGACCTGGAGGAGAAAATTATCCATAGAGAGCCAATGTATGGCAATTCATATGTTTTTGATTTAGTGGCTAATTCACATTAATTTCTTTTTAAGTTTGTTTGTATAGCACTTTTAAATATAATCATAGCAGCTTTACAAAAGGTGCACCTTATGGCATTATAATCAAATTAAGATCAAGTTACAATTAAAATACAAGTTATGATATATAAACATAGTTAACCTGCAGTTATTTAGCAAATAGGTGATGTCTGTGTGTACATGTTTAAGTGTTCATTTGCAAGTTCTCATTTGATTCCTTTTTTAGCATGATTTGCTCATCCTCCTGACTTTGTTTTTAGGGTTGGGGTTTCATACATTTTAATACAAATGAAATCCTATGAATTCATGCAAATTAGCCACTTTTCTGACAATAGTTACGTTTCCTCTTGAGATTTGGATGAATGATTAATGAGGTATATTTTATATGGTCTTTTTATGTTCTTACTGCATTAATACAGATCTATTGTTAAGGAATAGTGGTCAATGGAGGAAGAACTGGGCTTGCCCTCCAGGCTGGCATTCCTGTAAGGGTGTAGAAACAATGTGAAAACAACAAGTACAGTCACTGTATAGAAGGAAGTCCTGCGCTCTGGTTTAAAGAGACAAATACTGTTATACAGCCGAATTGCTCTAGAATGTGTGCCCTAAAATGCACTGAAAATAATGTGAATATTTACCTTAAGCAAGGCACATTAACTTGTTCAAAACTGACAGTAAATGTTATTTTAAATGTATTCTGGTATATTTATGAAAGTCGAAATATTAAGTTTATTATATAATATTATTTTACAACATTAGTGTCTGTACTGTATTTTTCAAAATTTGGTCATTATTTTTTTTATTTTATATTTTATTTTATAGTTTTATTTTTTATTTAATTTAATGGTTTTATTTTTTTATATAATTTATTAGATTTTTTTGTTTGTTTTTTATTTATATAGTTTTTTATAGTTTTATTTTTTATTTTATAGTTATAGTTTTTAATATTATTTGTAATTTTATGTTATATTTTTAAGTTTTATTTTATTTTATAGTTTTATTTTTTTTATTTTATGGTTTAATTTTTATTATTTTTTTATTTTATGTTATCATTTTATTTTTATTTTATAGTTTTATTTTTTATAATATATTTTTATTTTATAGTTTTACTTTTTATAAATTGAATTATTTTATTTTATAGTTATTTATTTTTTATTTTATAGTTGTATTTTTATTTAATTTCTATTTTTTATTTTATTGTATAGTTTTATTTTTTATTTTATTATTTTATTTTATGGTTTCTTTTTTATTTTATATTATAGTTTTATTTATTTTTATTTTATATTTTATTTCATTTCATTTATTTTATTTTATGGTTTATTTTTATTTTAGTTTATAGTTTTATTTTAGTTTATAGTTTTATTTTTTATTTAATATCATTATTTTATTTAAAATTTTTATTTTTATTTTATTTCATAGTTATATTTTTATTTTATAGTTTTATTTTATATTTTACTTTATAGTTTTTATATTTTATTGAATTTTATGGTAACTTTATATTTTTATTTTTTTTATTTTAGTTTTATTTTAATTAAATTTTATATTTCATTTATATTAATTAATCATTTATTTTTTTATAGTTTTATTTTTATTTTATGTTTCAAAAATAGTCTGCCTATCAAGTGAAATTGCAAAATTTTAGCAGGCTTGGATGGGCCGATTAAAATTGTTCATCACAGAGTTCTTGATTCAGGAAATTAGTAAAAAAGCCTTTGTTTGACAGATGGATTTCCTTAAATGCTTACTGCTAAAAAAAAACAACAACAACAAGAAAAAGCATGATGTTATTACGCTCATATGTCCTCTAGGGCAGACACGCTGTCATGATGATTCATGGATCCATTGACCTTATTTCACCAGTGAGGGATGCAAACACCTTCTTACTACAGGATGACGTTTCTGCTAGAGTAAGTTTTGAAACTTTAATTCCAGGAATAAAAAAAATATATAATCATAATAATAAAAATATATCAAAAATATCTTATGATGCTTGATATTTACTTTGCATTGGTTCAGGTGATGGTGGAGGCTTTGTACACCCATAATCCTGGGCCAGTTGTGCGCATATTTATTATAGTATCTAGTCTGATCGTTGGACTGATCATTTTTGGACTGCTTGTTCTTACTTTATGGAAGGTATGTACAGTATCACATGACGCTTTGCTCAATTCAAAAATGTATTCTTAACCCATGCTTCAAGTTTGCTTATCTATTATGAATTAAAGGGATAGTTCACCCCAAAAATAAATAAAAAAACAAGTAATTTAATCTTCCTTCAATTGTTCCAAACCTGTTTAAGTTTCTTTTCTTCTGTTAGACACATAAGACGATATTTTGAAGAAGGCTGAAAACCTGTAACCATTGACTTCCATAGTACTTTTTGTTCCTACTGTGAAAGTCAATGGTTACAGGTTTTCAACTTACTTCTAAATACACTTTAGAAAATGCAGGATTCCACACAATTCATTCATGTTGTCCCAACACAAATCCATTAAGTTAACTATTAACCATTAAGTGGATCGAACATAAAACAGTTAGGTTGTCCCCCTAAAAATCTCAAGAATTGTGCTGTTTCAGCCTTTTTTTAAATAAGTAAGTTGGAGCGTATATTCTATAAAGAAGAACAAAACTCATAAAGGTTACTTAATAGAGAGTAAATCTTTATTTTTGGGGTAAACCTTTCCCTTTAAAGTGATCCTATTATGCCAATTTAAAGGTTTTGTTCATCATTCATCCAAGGTCAAAAAACAATGACATTTTCTCATAATATACTTTACTGCATCAGCTCTTTTCTGAGTTTGGTTTTCTGAAAAGATTTGTTAATCACAAACCGTATACTGTATACACTCCATGAAAGGTAATATCTGCAAAAAAAAAAAAAAAAAGCCAGGGGAATTTTTATGGCCAATCGGTAACACTTTACTTGAACACTTGGTAACACTTAAGTTACACTTAACTTGTCATTTATCTGTCATTAACAGGATTGTCATGCAGCCATTATAATTGCATCATGAATATTTTTCTGATCGCTTCTTTAGTAGAACAAACTGTATTCTTCATTAAAATGGTCATTACTCTCTCAAATACTTTTATAAGAGTTTCAATAATATAGAGAATAATGACATTATTAATTATGCTGTTATGAAAATTAGAATTGCTTCATGACAGTCATGTTTATGACAGATTTATGACAAGTTTTGCGGTCTTGGTAATGACAAGTTGTCATGACAGACAAAAACAGGTTGTGACGTACACTCACCGGCCACTTTATTAGGTACACCCGTCCAACTGCTTGTTAACGCAAATCAGCCAATCACATGGCAGCAACTCAATGCATTTAGGCATGTAGACATGGTCAAGACAATCTGCTGTCCACATCTTATGACCACAGTGTTCCCATCTTCTGATGGCTACTTCTAGCAGGATAACGCGACATGTCATAAAGCTCGAATCATCTCAGACTGGTTTCTTGAATGTGACAATGAATTCACTGTACTCAATTGGCCTCCACAGTCAACAAAACTCAATCCAATAGAGCACCTTTGGGATGTGGTGGAACGGGAGATTTGCATTATGGTACTAGTAAGGTGTACCTAATAAAGTGGCCGGTGAGTGTATTTGTTTATGTAAAGATGTCATAACAGACAATGTCATCTTTGAATTTGAAATGTCATAAATGAACGAATGGCTTTTAATGACATGCATAAAATCTCATCATATTCATAACATATATTAAGGTTTCATGACAGTCTTATAAACACCCCCTTCCAGTAAAGTGTTACCGAACGGTCATCAGTGTTTTTATTTCCTAAAATTAGGCCTTCTTGCATATATCACCAAATGAATAGTCTGTCAGACCTAGTTAATTTGAGCACACAATTACAATAACAAATCGAAAAATGGAGATGTACATTTGCTTATTGACAATAATTCTCTTGTTCTCATTAGCTTGGATTCTTCAAACGGACATTGAAGGAGAAGTTTCGACGGGACAGTTGGGACTATGTGCCCAAGCATGAAAGCGTATCATAATAGAGGATTTACACCACATTCAAAAGCAGTCATTATGGAAAGGTCTGAAGCTCTTCTGACTCATGACAACCTGCAGCCATTGACTGTAACGGCTGGGAAACCTTCATCACAGAGCCCTGAAGAGAATCTGCTTTTTTTGGTCAGCAGGATAAAGGCAATGCACTTTAAAGTATGGATCATACTACATGTGCTCACTGAATCACTCCGGGACGTCGAGCCCAATGGAGAAAAAAAAAAAAGTTTTCAGAATGTACTGTCGCTATAGAATATTACGGCTCCGTTCCAAAACCTAGTGTGCTGCCTAAGTAGGGAGCATTATTAAAGCGTGAAGGCATAAATATGCAATCTTCTTGAGAGATTATAGGTAGGCTTTATACCATTATTAAAATGTTTATTAATGGCCATTCAGTTTCACAAGTTTACAATAATATTTTTAGCAACTTAATCTTTAGATTTAGTGGCTCATTCAACCCCGGCTCATTCTGAAAACATACAGCTTTATACATTTCTGAAGAGTGCCAAATATGTCATTTGTTACATTTGTACAAAGTACATTTCATTTAGCAGTTTCTGGTGTTGTAAATCCAATAGAGGCCGCTGTGTACGCTTTTTAAGATCTCAGATATCTTTCTCGAGTGTCATTCGTGCCTGCTGTTCTCGGGTAAATCCACCAGAGGCTGCTGTCGAATGACTGACTGACCGATCGACTGACCCACCCTTCTCCTTCTCTAAACCCAACCAATAGTGTTTTCAAAAGCACTTCCCTAAACCCAACTGACAGTTTTAAAAAGCAATTCAGAAAAAGAAAAGCCCTCGCCTGATTTTTACCACGTTTTCAGATTTAACCACATTCTCATCCTGTTATTTACTTGTTTATTTTTTTTTTTTTTTTGGCTGCTTCTTTTGTCTATCCAGCTTTCTGGAACCATTCTCTGGCTACATCATTTGTGATATAAGGCTACATTTTCAGAATGAGCCTTTGTTGGGCTCATTTGTAGGATTTTGTACGACCTTATTCATAAATTTTGGTACGATTTGCTTAACCTGCTAAAAATGATCAGTATTTGTATGAATGAAATCTAACCCTAATTTGTAGGAATTAGACACTTTTCTGACAATATGTAAAATAATTATATTTTCTCCCTATTTGTTGGCTTTCAGTCATGTCCACGGATTCACTGCAAAAAAAATAAAAAATGCTTTTCTTACTTGGAGTTTTTGGGCTTGTTTTAGTCCAAATACTACAATTAATATCAAATTTAAATTAAGAACAATATTCTAGACAAATGAAAGAATGGAGTTTTGTTTTTGGAAAAAAAATGTCAAAATTAAGTGAGTTTTTTTTTTTTTTTTTTAACAAGCAACATAATATTATTAAAAAACTACAAGAAGTTTATTTAATTTGCTTTTTCCCGCTACTGGCAGGTTATTTAGCTTGTCTTAATAAAAATCTCACTTAATTTTCATGATATATCTCTGAAAACAAAATTGTATTTTACTTGTCTAGAAAATTCTACTTCTTGATTAAATAATATTTGGAAATTTGGACCAAAAACAAGACAATTTGTTATTTAAGAAAAGGAAAAGCAGGTAGTCAGGGGTGCTGCTGGCTGGTATGGGCCCTATGACATTGGTGTTGTACACTGAAGTAAAGAATAGGGTAGGGGCAGTTGGGGATGTTTTGATAGGCGGGTGGGGGTGATGGATTTTGCAGGGGGGGGCTGGGTTTGGGGTGCCTAATAGTATTTCAAAGGGGGCCCCAAAACGGCATGGGCCATTAGAATAGTCCTAACTTAAACCCCCTGTTTCTGTTAACATGCTTTCCCCGAGTTGGTGTGGGTTTCCTCCGGGTGCTCTGGTTTTCCCCACAGTCCAAAGACATGCGCTATAGGGGAATTGAATAAACTAAACTGGCCATAGTATATGTGTGTGAATTAGTGTGTATTGATGTTTCCTAGTTCTGGGTTGCAGCTGGAAGGGCATTCGCTGTGTAAAACATTTCGCTGATGAATAAAGGGACTAAGCTGAAGGAAAATGAATGAATGATGTGATTAGTTTAATAAAATGCACCCAAGATGGCAGTTAAACAAAGAGAATGTTGATTATAAATATTATTTATTTATTTACACAATGATAAGTATCAAAAGTATCTGTCAAAAATATAATTGTCTATTAATATATGCGTAGTACCAGGGGTCCCAAACTGCTGACCCGCGGGCCACCCCCCTCTCTCTCTCTCTCTTTCTCTCTCTGGCCCGTAATTGACGTCAATAATGTAATTAGATTCGGCCCCCCAAAATATATATATTTTTGAATCACTATCATTGTTGTGCAGTCGCATATAGCCTTGGACAAAAAAGTACTGTAATATGTTTGTGTTATTTTCAGTTTCTCCCAGTGTGTGTTCGAGAGTATCACACATGCAGATTACTTCTGGGGCTGATTTAAACGTTGAAATAATCAGTTTTATACCACCTGTATTGTGTACAAACACCTTTTCATGGATTACACGTTATGATGGTGGTGTAAATATGATCATTTTGCTAATATTCGATTCAAATGGTCTCATCTTATTTAACAGATTGTACTCATATGCATATTAAAATTTGTATAATAAATGGGCATTAGTAAAATTTGACTAAATATTTTCCCTATTCTTTGTTGTAGTTTTACAAAAAGAAAGATCTTGAGAAGAACAATTGCCAGTAAAGTCACTAAAGTTACCCAATCTGCTTTCTGCTGTTCTTACGCTATCTGTTAAGCCTTTGGTTAAGCAACAATTGATCAGAACAGAGTTATAATAATTATTAATATGCCTATTATTAAATTGTCATATTTTCATAGCAATTTAAGTTACCTCTTCAATATGTACAATAAGAAACAAAAAGAAGGAACTGTGACTGAATACTCTGAGGAAGAATGTGCATCAATTACATCAGGTTTCCACTTTTTTCTGGTGCTTGAATGTTAAAGCGGCCCTCCTATGAACTGTCAGTCACTGATGTGGCCCTCCTCCAATTTGAGTTTGAGCCCCTTGATCTAAATGAACAATTAGTACATTTACATGAATAACAATTTAATATTCATATAAATTTAAAGTCTTATAATAACACTCTAGTAGGGTTTGTATTTATAAGTACAATATAATGCAATATAATATCAGTAGAAAGCAAATGGGTGCTTAATATTCCAATGAATGCCCTATAAATGCTTATATGGATATATAGCTTTTTTTTATTCTAGACTGTTGTTACCATAGCAACATTAAACCCATTTGAAATCAGTAAATTCATAAGTGCCTCCATTTTCCCCAATTTACTTTTGAAGATGAAGATGACACAAAGCAAAGCATCTTCAAAGATGTATCAGTTTTAACTATAAAATGAATCAGCTAGAGTCAGGATGCTCCCTTTAAAAAAAAAAAAAAAAACAGCAACCTATATAGGGTGTATACAACAAGGCAGCTCACTAGGTTTTGGAACGGAGCCTTTGTAAGTGTTTTCCTCCGATCACTGAACATATTGGCTGCTGGCCTGCTGTAAAGGAGAACCTGCACTGCTGTAGCTTTTCTGGCTAAGGTTATGCCTGTGTGTATCTGAAAAGAGACTAGTTTTCTTACGCCAGCAAGTTAGTGTACCCTTAACAGAGGTGGCACAGGATTTTCTGGCACTTTCCGTCACCCTTTCTCAAGCAGAACATTGCTGCGATTGGGGTTTTCACACCTTTGCGTCGTCGCTGTATCGGTTCTCCTTGCAACAAAAAAAGAAGGAAACGGCACGTATTTTCTCTCCTCCCAAACGCTCTCTGTTGAGTGGAATAGTTAGAAGTTGGAACGGAGACGCCAGATGGAGGAGCGAGTGCTTTCTGCGTGCTTTGGCTCGGTGCCATGGAGAAGAAGCAAAGGAGGCTGCTGTTGTGTGTCTGTGCTGCGCTACACAAGACTTGACAAGATTGGCATGTGTCTGGATGCCAGCCATCGCTGAAGAATATGTGTGTGTGTGTGTGTTCATTTGTGGGACTCCACAGTCACAAATACACACAGATCGTCACCTCTTACGAGTATAGAAACCCAAACAGGATGTGCACATGCAGGAAAAACACCCATTTTTTTGTGTTCAGGTGAAAAGATACTTACATTTAAATGCTCAATGCAAGCGTTTACAAAAGCTAGCAGCTCAAAATAATTGAAAAGTAAACTAAACACGGTGGCTCAGTGGTTAGCACTGTCACCTCACAGCAAGAAGGTCACTGGTTTGAGTCTGGGTCTGTTGGCATTTCTGTGTGGAGTTTGCATGTTCTCCCCGTGTTCACGTGGGTTTCCTCTGGGTGCTCCGGTTTCCCCCACAATGCAATTACGTGCTATACGTGAATTGGGGAGGCTAAATTGGCCATAGTGTGTGAATGTGAATGTATGGATGTTTCCCAGTATTGGGTTGCAACTGGAAGGGCATCCGCTGTGTAAAACATATGCTGGATAAGTTGGCGGTTCATTCCTCTGTAGTGACCCCTTATTAATAAAGGGACTAAGGAAAATGAATAAATGAATACTAAATAGGAGTTTGCAAAAGAATGAAAGCAAAGCTGAAGCTTCAATTGTGAACTGATGCAAGCAAAATCATTTTACAAATCATTTTTAAATGAAAAATTGTATTATAAATGTATTTTTTGCTTATCATATGTGGAATGATTTGGTGCTGTTATTTAGCATTAAAAGCTAAACTGGTTTACTGAAATAAAATCTAAAAATATAAAATTTGAACACAACAAAATTGATTACATTGCCATTTTAGATTCTTTTAGAAGAAATAAAACAATAAACTGAAATTTCAGAAATATAAAATGAGATTATTTTTTTTTTACCCAAAAGTGAGATGATGTGATTTATATCCCAAACTTGATTATGGTGTTAAATGTCATCACATACTGAATGAATGTTGGTGCTGTTATAAAGCTTGAAAACAAAAATTACCTATAGCAAAATACAGTAGTCAACATTTGAAGTGGACCAACATCTTTAATCAAAGTTGTTCCCAAACTATTGAACAATTTTAATCCACTTCAAATCTTGACTACAGTAAATATACACTGCCGGTGAAAAGTTTGGAGTCGTATGTTGTTTTAATTATTACTCCAGTCATTATTGCTTTTATTACTGTTACCATTGATAATAATAATATTATTAATAATCGTAATAATAATTAATATTAGAGTGATTTCTGAAAGATCGTGTGACTGTACTGAAGACTGGAGTAATGAAGCTGAAAATTCATCTTTAAAATCACTGATAAAATACATTTGTTATGTAATGTAAATGTAATATAATGTAAACTACAAATAACAATTACATAACATTTGAACAATTATTTTATATTGCAAAAACATTTCTCAAATGTACAATTTGTACTGTATTTTTGATTAAATAAATGCAGCCTTGGTGAGCAGGAGAAGCTTATTTTAAAACATGAACAAAACTTACTGACGCCAAACTTTTGACCGGTAGTGTATCTACAGTGCATATATAAGTACATCCCTCACAAATCTCTCTTTTAAATTTATATATTTAAGAGGAAGCTATCCACTATTCTATTTGTGCATATACATTACATTAGTCACTACCAAAGCCAAATCTGGTGCTTATCTAATAAAATAACTTACAATAACGGTCTAAAAACTAGTACAGCCAAATTTATATGCTATAAAAAAATACTGAATGCAAATTTTAAAAAAAGAGAAAAAATTAAGCAAAAAAGTTTTTTTTTTTTTCAATATTTTGCTTGAAATTTATTTGTATTATCTTTCAGAGTTTTAAAAATGTTTGGGGTCTAAAATATTATTTTAATAAATATATCTGTTTAATAAATCTGTTTTGTTTAAATGCACCAAGATACATTGCCTGTATTTACTGAGAAATGGATACAAATATTCATTTTCAAAATAGGGTGCACCCAATTATGTCGAGCAATGTATACATACACACACACACACACACACATTTTCAAATTCATTTTTCCAAAAACGGCACACAAAATGTCAGCTTATTTTGTCAGCTTTTTTTTTTTTCCTGCATGATTGAGCTTGTAAACACAAACTATGCTGTGAGAATTCAAACTAAATATGTGGGATGTCTTTTTTTATTTTGAGTAAACACATTAGATGGGTTGCTTGTCACTGCTCTTTTTAAGACATAAAAACAAAACAAAACTCCACAGTTCAGGGAATCAAATGCAAAAAAGCACATTGCTATTTTTCTGTGTATGTTTATTAAGTTAAGTCTTTAAAAATGATACAAATTTGTTTAAAAACTGTCTTTTGGTTTATTTAAGTTGTAATGCACTGGAATGTACTGTGTGTTTTTGTGTTGTCATAAAATGTTCTCTTTACATGTTAAAGCATTTCTCTGTGCGGTTTGTTTGTTGAGTTCTTAATAGCAATTCTCTGTGTGCATGTGTGTATGAGTGTGTGTTCAGATACAGCTGCATTTCACCGGCGTCTCCTCGGCCTCCTCCACGTCTGATCCAAAGAGTGTGAGGAGCTGAGGGTGAACTCTGGAAAATAAACACTTCTGTCAGGACATTTAAACATTACACAGATTTATCTGATAGCCGCACACCTCCCTCCCTCTTTCTCAGAACCTCACACTCTTCTGTTTATTCTTCTGTCGCTTTTTCTGCAGCTTTGAAAAGATAAATTTAGTTTTTTTATCAAGTACTGCTCGTATATTGTTTGGAGTGTGTTAAAACAACACGGCTTGTGTTTGCACAGGTCATCCGAAGTTCATCTGCTGAATTCACACAGTGGCTGTCTTGACTACTGTTAGCCAGTGCTTTCAGGATTTCTCGATTATACGATATCAGAATTGAACGCAAATTTTAAATATTTAGAGGCAATATGCATTAGATTCGCCATAGATTTTCAGCTTTTGATATGTCGTGATGTTATCAAGCTTTAAATGTCTCCTGTGATACATAATGAAAATATGAATGGAGTAAAAAAAATCAGTTTACCACAGAGTGGTTTAATAAACATGAAAGTGAAGTTAAACATCTCACATGGCCTGCACAGTCACCCGATCTGAACATTATTGAGCCACTTTGGGGTGTTTTGAAGAAGCGAATCAGCATCACAGTGACCTGGCCACTATTCTGAAAGGCTTAACGTGCATTAAACCAATCAGAGACTCATCTCCCATTCCCTTTAAAAGTCTATTGTGTCGCACCATGGAGCATTTGCTATTTACATGGTGGACTTTGTAAGTTGAAAAACTGAATGCTTCACTAGTGAGAAAACGATTATCAGACCATCTGCAGCACGAGGATAAAGAACAAGCCTCCTCAATTCGCCCTCTTTATTTTTACTTTACTCTCACTCTTTACTCCTTTACTTTGTGCTGCTCATATAATGTTTGGTTAGTGTTAAAACAACACTGCTTGTGTTTGCACAGGTCATCTGAAGTTCATCTGCTGAATTCACACAGTGGCTCTCTTGACTACCGTTAGCCAGTGCTTTCAGGACTTCTCGATTGTATGATCACAGAATTGAACGCAAATTTCAAATATTCAGAGATGCTTGTGATTTATAATTGCAGTAGATTTGCCACAGATTTTCAGCTTTTGATGTGTCATGTGAGGTTGTCAGGCTTTAAATGTCTTGTGTTATACATAATGAAAATAACGAAGGAGAAAAAATGTTAAGTTTAATTTAGAAACTCAAACTGAGTATTAAAAAATGGTGTATTGGACAATGAAACTAAAACACTGGCAAATTTAGTGTTGGGGTTTCATGTCAAGACTGGTGACAGAGTGGTTTAATATACATGAAAGTGAAGTTGAACATCTCCCATGGCCTGCACAGTCACCCAACCTAAACATTACTGAGCCACTTTGCGGCGTTTCAGAGGAGCAAGTCAGGAAACGTTTTCCACCACCAACATCACATAGGGACCTGGTATCTATTCTGCAAGAAGTATGGAATAAAATCCCTCTGGCCACTGTGCAGGACTGTGCAGGCCTGGTTTAAAACCAGGCGCTTAATTTTCATTGTCCAACCCCTGTATGGCCTCAATTATGTTTTCACAATAGTACAGCACAGTACTTGCATGCAATGCGTAAACATTTCATTATTTACTCAGAATCTCCTAATAATCTGTGTTTAGTAAGATGAGATGTAAATGCTTAATTTGATTATAAAAACACATCTTAATCAAGGGCTCCTTTCAATTTTGGAGTGCAGTAGCCCTATGAAAACAATCTAAAATCACATGTGATAAATTTACCTTAGCATAATTTCTCTAATTCGAATGATTTCGCTAATGTTAAAGAGTTTATTTGCATTATTTAGAGTTTACTTTATGTATCAGATGTGATATATAGGCTTTAGGGTAGAGTTTCTCAATGGTTCTTTATGTACAAAATGCATATAATTTTGTGTGTGGATCTTCATGAAAAATAGCTGCATATATTTGAGAAAATTCAATGCAAAATCAGCCATTTTAGGCTGCAAAATTCAGTCTCTCCAATAATTCTTGAGATTTATTGAGAAAAGCAGTTGCAAAAAAAAAAAAAAAAAAAAAAAGCTTTTCTTACTTTTTATTTTACTTTACTTAGAGTTGTTGGTCTTGTTTCTAGTCCAAATGTCCAAAAAAAATAAATAAATAAATAAAAATTTAAATCAATAAGACTTTTTTAGAAAAAAAAATGTTTTCAGAAATAATCAAATTATGTTTTTTTCTTTAAAGGGCAATGAAACCCCTTTCTTTCAGTTTAAGTCTACCTCAGAAATGTTTCAAAAAAATGTTGCGAGATGGGCGTGGAGTGCTGCAAGCTGAGGGAGGAGTGGGCGTGGCTGACAGTGCAGGGGAAAAATACTGGAGCGAACAGCTGTTGTCAGTTGGCTCACAAATTGAGACACAAAACGTGAGGAGACCCATGATTTTATAGTTTACAAAGCTAAAATGCAAGTAAACATACAGTAAGTAATTTAATGCCCTGCTACGTTTGTTATTCAAAATTTCATATACACATAACCACAACTTGTTCTATCATTATGAAGATAATCGTTTATATACACTATAAACACTACAAATGAGGAGGACTTCTCTCCTCCTCAATCCCCGGGTCTGAATGCAGACACAGTTAATAGTAGTGCAGCAGGTACTAGGTGGATAGTCTTGCCCTATCTATTCTAACCATTAACGTTGCTGGTAATCTGGAGGATTTTAAACATAGGCGAACACTGTAGTACGGATATAGGCGATGTGTCTGAATGGTAATAACCTCAACTGATAAAAGACAAAGTTCGTCATTCACCAGTTCTCGTACATCTCTCCTGACAAAATTGCTTCAAACCAACAGCTTTGCTTTGCTTTAAAACAAATCTTTGCAAGATTTGTTTTATATTTGGACTAGAAACAAGACAAAAGCTCTAAGATAACCATTTTTGCAGTAAAAATGATTCATTTTTAAGCTGCAAATGTTTAAAAAATAGTCCTGGAGGGCCTGAGAAATCTATAATTATCTTTTAAAGCCTGGAGGATTGTGTTATGCTAATAAATAGGAATACGTCTCATTCAATAGACAGTTGAAAAGTTCTGATTCTGTCTGTGAAATATCTCTACGGTGGTTTTGTCCTTTATGATTTTGCTATGTGCATGTTTGAAGCCTCTTGCAGTTGTGTGTTGAGTGAATTTGCTGTGATTAATCGTCAGTCTTGTAGTCTGTCCTGACTGTGCTCTCTGTGTATGTGTGTCTGCTGTTTGACTGGAGCGTCTGACCTGATGAGGAGCTCAGACGGGACGTCCAGCAGATCTCCGTCGATGTTCCAGGGGTACGTCCCTTCAGAGGAGATGATGGGTGTGTTTTTAGAATCGCTCTCCTCGTTCTCCTCTGAGACGTCATCAGTCCAGCTGCTCTGAGAGCTCGGCCGAAGTCTGACCGCCTTCACACTGTGAGTTTCAATGAAGGAGAAGCCAAACTGCAGGAGGACAAACAGTGCAGTAAACTGTTAGCAAAAACACTAGCTGTATTTTTATCTGCGTTCTGCAGTTCTGTCTGTCTGTATTCTGCTGATATCCATCCATCCATCGTCTGTATATACTCTGCTTATCTATCTATCTATCTATCTATCTATCTATCTATCTATCTATCTATCTATCTATCTATCTATCTATCTATCTATCTATCTATCTATCTATCTATCTATCTATCTATCTATCTATCTATCTATCTATCTGTCTGTCTGTCTGTCTGTCTGTCTGTCTGTCTGTCTGTCTGTCTGTCTATCTATCTACCTGTCTGTCTGTCAACCTACCTACCTGCCTTTATATCTATCTATCTATCTATCTATCTATCTATCTATCTATCTATCTATCTATCTATCTATCTATCTATCTATCTATCTATCTATCTACCTGTCTGTCTGTCTGTCTGTCTGTCTGTCTGTCTGTCTGTCTGTCTGTCTGTCTGTCTGTCAACCTGTCTGTCTGTCAACCTACCTATCTATCTATCTATCTATCTATCTATCTATCTATCTATCTATCTATCTATCTATCTATCTATCCATCCATCCATCCATCCATCCATCCATCCATCCATCCATCCATCCATCCATCCATCCATCCATCCATCCATCCATCCATCCATCCATCCATCCATCCATCCATCCATCCATGCTTTATCTATCTGTCTGTCATTCTCAGTGTCATAAATCATCTTATTTTTTTCTATAATTTGTTATAATTTATCTAGGCCTGTCATTTATTGTTCTCTTATTTTTTAACCACCATTCCATCATTCTCTCTGTCTATCATCCTCTAATCATCATTCTCTCTATCCGATCTGTGTGTTTTTTGTTCAAATGTATGTCTCTCTCTTTCTCTTTATTTCTATTAATTGTTCTATGGTTTGTTACTGTAAATCTTGTTATTATCTTATGTTTCAGAATGTATTTCCTGTCTGGGCTTTTGTAATGCTTTCCCTGCAGCTGTTTTGCTCTATTCACTAACATCTGCCATGTTTCAGGTTGTAGTTTAATGCAAGACCACAAGGAGGCAGTGATGAACAACTGATCCTCAACTGTCCATCTCAGTCGTGTGATTGTTTGTGTGTTTGAGTTTGACCTGGCATGAACCTGGACACAAAATCAGGCCACAATTCCTTTTATTCTAATAACCAGGTACCTCATCAAATAAAACAAATGGCTCATCGTTCATTATAATACTTCACAGCACAGATATTATGTAAGAATCATTTGCATTATAATTTAAATTATAACTAAATGTAAAGTAAAAGTCATTTTATGTATAGCATAAGCATTTTGATTATGACCAAAATCCTCAAGGTGTTAAGTTTGACCCAGGAAATGTGCATCAGCTGCGTGATTTTTTTCCTCCTGCTCTCTGCATTTATGGCGTGATGAGTACAAATTTATTTGACTATAAATCTCATTGTAACTGGTCTTTAAGAGGTTAAGTATATAAAAGATGTCCTGGCCATCACACTGAAATTGATAATAGTCAATTTTGTACACAAAATGTATCCTATACTAAGATTTTTTAAACGACTTTTAAATAAACAAAATATTATATAAACAAAATTTAGATTACTATGATAATAATTTAGATTTTTTTAATGCTCATACTACAATATTTGCTTAATGTTTTACATTTTATTAAACTTTTTGTTTGTTGTGTTTGTTTTACAGTACCATAGTATATTAAAAATTCTAAAATTATTTTTATATTTCCAATGCTGCATTTTTTTGAACATATAATTCTCAATACTCTTTAAAGACATAATTCACATACTTCTCAAATCCTCATTACTGTAATATATCTTAGAGTAAAAATCTGCAGTTTTTACTGTACATCTACAACACTGAGTTTTGTTCCCTTTTTTGAGTTTAAACCTCATTTTAAGGACTCTGCTAATAATTTTTTCTGATTTTAATAACAAATTGGACTTAACTCAGTATATAGGGACTCATAAACCAGTGCTACTAAACATATACCTGTAAATTTACATATTATTTTTAGGTTCACCTTACAGAAATAAGACTTCTAAAAGCCTTGTTTGCAATGAGAGAGAAACTATTTATATATATATATATATATATATATATATATATATATATATATATATATATATATATATATATATATATATATATACAAATTATATTACAAAATTTCTATTGTTCTAATATATATATTACAAAATGTACTAGTTTGAAACTTTTGTCATCCCAGGCTCATTAGAAATATGTGCCCAAGCATACATTTTTTAGAACCAACAAATATGTACCCTGAACCACACCTGCTTGCAGTTTTTGTTTTCACAAATCCACTAGGGGACACGGTGTACATTTTTGATAATCTCAAATAATTTACTGGGGCACATTTTCTCATGCATGCCATTGGTAATAAACACTTCAGAAGGTGCTGTGTAATTTTGTTTCCATATTAACATTCTTCTCATGCACATAAGTGAGAGAAGCTGGTTGGATAGTCATCGTGCATAATATATCAGCTTGATATAGACCTCCCTAAACCTGACCAAAAGTGTTTCAAAAGCAAACTAGAATGAGATTTCATTCTAGCATCCATGTGCTTCTACTATGACCTCACACTGCTTTTTTGGGTTTAGTTTTTTCTAGTTTCTGGAACCACCCTTCGTCAAACTCCTGGAACAGTGAACCATTCAGAGTGAGCCAGAAAAGCCATCCATATGGAAGTAAGCAGTCTTGCCCTATAGTGTTTGATTTACACTAAAAATGCAGCCATATGTACCTGTGAGCACATATTTCTCGATTCTCAAAAATGTACACAGGGCACATTTTCCCAATGAGCTCAAGATGTCCTCACTGCAGCCTGTAGCATGGTGATGTACTGGATCAGGTCTAATACGTAGTGGACATTGTAACGCCCATACTACTGTGATGTTTGGGGTTGGTGTAAACAGTAATCATTATGAGGGGTGGGGTAGGTGTAGATGTCAATAACGTTCAATGTAAAAGGTAATTTAAGTATTAAATAATGTTTGTTTTACACATAAAATGCAGCCATATGTACCTGCAAGCACATATTTCTCGGTTCCCAAAAATGTACACCAGGGCACATTTTACCAATGAGCTCAAGATTTCCTCACTGCAGCCTGTAGCATGGTGATGTACTGGATCAGGGTTAATATGTAGTAGACATTGTAATGCTCAAACTACTTTGATGGTTGGGGATGGTGTAAACAAAAATCATTATGAGGGTTGGTGTACTTGTAGATGTCAGTAACGCTCAATGTAATGGGTAATTTAAGTACTAAATAGTTTTTGCTTTACATATAAAATGCAGCTATATGTACCTGCAAGCACATATTTCTCAGTTATCATAAATGCACACCAGGGCCCATTTTCCCAATGAGGCCAAGATGTCCTGACTGCAGCCTGTATCATGATGATGTACTGAATCAGGTCTGATCTGAGTGGACATTGTAATGGCCGTGCTACTGTGATGGTTGGTGTAAACATTAAACATTATGAGGGATGGGGTACACTGTAAAAAACTGGCTGTGATTTCAACGGTAAAAAAATGTAAAAACAGTAAAAATCCGAAACCAGGTTAACAGTATGTTTTCATAATATATGTAGCGAATAAACGTAAATTGACTTTCCCATAATTCCCTGCATGGCATGTCACCTTTTATACTTTTTGTTGACATTACTATGGATCTTTTTAGTTGTTTCCTCATCAGTAATGTACATTAGAGATTTATGTTACATCTAATGTTGATAAACAATGTTTAGTTTATTACTTTAATTTTATGTGTATTACCATACTGGTGTATAGTAGCTGTGTAAATGACACCGAGCACCTTCTTTACACTGATACTCTTTTCTGCTTGTGGGAAAAAATTGTTTGTGAAGACCATTGGTTCATTATGTAACTTTCTCATCACCAACTGCATTTGGCTGTGATAATGTGTCTATATTTGTAACAAAAGATGTATAGATGTTGGTAATTCAAAATACAGACATATTACCTCTGTAAATTAATGAAATACGGTAGTTTACTGTAAAAATAAGAAATTACTTTTATGGTTTGTACCGTATTTTTAACGGTGAAATACTGGCAACCACAGCAGCCGTTTTTTTTACCGTAAATTTTATGGATTTATTTTTCACAGTGTAGGTGTAGATGTTAATTACACTCAATTTAATGGGTTATTTAATAACTAATGTAAATAATGTAAATAATTCTCATTTCTAGCACCAACCACTCGCGAATACACGTCCACTACACATTAAGGCTGATGCAGTACGAAATCGTGCTAAAGACTGCAACGAGTCAGCATGCAAGTTTTTGTGAGTTTTTATTTTTGGAAATGCTATTCTTGGTTTTAAGTATATAAAGAAAAAAAAAAACGATTTTCTTGTCAGTTGTTGAATTTAGTAATAGGCCAAGGCAGGCTAAGTTAGCTGTTTATATGAGTAAAAAAAACAGAACAGTGGTGGTTGTATTTTCCTATATGCTACAAGCAAGGATAACGACTGATTTTAATTACTATAAGCACATCGATGATCTTGCCACCTTGGAAAATATTGGGTTTTAAAGCTGTTTAGTACTATATGGCTGAAATGAATGTGGTTTTTACCTTCATATGAACTGCACGTGCTTATTTGTAACTTGAAGTGAATTACTTCATGTTGTATTGTTTTCATCCTAATGTAGTAAAGTCTTGTAAATTCTAATTCATTCTCTCTCTAAAGAACATAAATAGAGGTGTATTTTGCCATATTCTGTTGTTGGTAAAGCAAAACCATCAATGTGGAAAACTCGCAGAATGGATGTTGAAGGAGGAAATCTAAATATTTCGATTTTATTTTATTGCCTTGGTTCAATCTAGGATTAGAATCAGGGTAGTTTAAGATTTACAACTCAAAGCGAATTTACTTGAATTTGAACTTAAATAGTGTGTGATGATTATGCTTTATGTACGTAAAGTGGTGAGGACATGCTACCATTCGATAAGTGATGTTTGGTGATTAGATCAGTACTCAGATCAGATGTTTTAAAGTCAAAGTCTCTCTATCACTCTCTTTCTCTCTCACACATTTAAAACACCCTTAACTTTCTTCATGGCCTTCTACATCCTGTAAACAAGGTAAACACACAAAGCTCTTTCAAAACAGGCGATAAAGGCCTAATAGTACAGCAGAGAGAGCCTGAAATTGACACACGGCTTTGCTCTGCGGCTCAATGACATCTCGAACGAGACTGAAGAGCAGTAGGTCAGCGCCGCAACCCACACTGATTATTTATAGAATGTGGGTTAACAAACAGCTCTAGATTGGATTGCTTAAGAAGGGTAAAAAGAAGAGGCCGGCTCTGAAATGGGCTAATCTGTATTAGCCTGAAAAGTGTTTTGTGGGAAGCTGACAATCAGTGACTAATTTGACTTGACAGTATGCTAATTCCGCTTAAGCTGGCGAGGTTTGTTAACTCCATTTGCGTGGGCTGGATCTCCAGCCTGATGTGAGTTCAGGAAGTTCCCTCACCTGGTTGTTTGTGCTGTTGTATCTCTTCAAGTGCTTGATGAACTCTGACCTGGAGGTGTTGCCAACTGATATCAGCGCCATACTGCCGTTGTTCAGCCTGTATTGGACAGGAAAAGTTTGTTTTTGTACATGTTCGATAAATTATCAAGCCTGATCTTACGAGGAAATGTAACTTTTTATGTTTTGTCAGTGGCTAATTTGTAAGAATTCGTAAGAGTTTGGTCATATGAAAACCTATGATTTTTTTGGTGGCATGGCACCAAACCTCTAAACCCAACCATCATTGGGGGATAAGCAAATCAACCTTAATTGTATGAATAAGATTGGACGAATTCATACAAATAAGCGACTAAATCAAAAAGTTACGAATTGTTGTGAGATAGCATTAAATTAACACATTTCAAATTATGGGTTGGACTTCCTGTTTGACACCGACATTCATGACGAGCTAACTGGACAAACTGGTAACAGCGGGAAAGACGTCAATATAGAGGTAAGCGGTCAGATGGTAGCGTAAATAGGAACATCGTAAATAGGAACATACCGCCCGTATCGTTCATTTTAAAGATGAAATGCAGCAATACGTACTTCTGGCTACATAATTCGCGATCTCCAGAAATGTGTATAGGGCTACATTTTCAGAATGAGCCTATGTTGATTTTAATGGAAGCTACTCTTATAATTCACACAAAGCATCATGGAATGTAAAAAATGGATACAATGGATACAGTTATATTAAAAGGGATAGTTTGCACAAAAAAAATTTAACTTACTTACCATTTACTCTCCCTCAAGTGATTCCTAACCTTACAGTAAGTGTTTTGCTTTACTGCTGATCACAAAACTCATTACCATTGACATTCATACTAGTAGGAAAACAAAAAGTCAATGGCTATCCATTTTCACATTCTTCAAAATATCTTCTTTTTCATTCAACAGATGAAAACAAACCCAAACAGCTTTGGAAAACAAGTGGAAGGTGAGTAAATTATCAATTTTATTTTTGAGTGAACTATCTCTCTTGAGTAAACTATCCCTCTGAACATTTGTTCAGTACGCAGATTACACTGAATCTGTATCAAACAGAAAGACAATGTCACATTTTAAGCACAGAATCTTTACGTATGGCCAAGAGTAAAGGGGAATTGTTTATTTAATAAAATCAGTGTCTAGTATGTTTTACCGCAGGTCTATAAATAGATGTGTCTCACACTTGGGACTCTTCCATATCTACACATCAGTGGACAATGTAAAGTAGAGCTTGAAAGTAAAAATATGTCCAGACAGAACATGGATTTCACTGCATTTAATCCGTTATAATTTATAAGCATGCGTGCTTGATTAAATGGTTTCTCTGATCAAAAATGTGTATAATGACATGGTTATTACAATCTAGAAATGATTCATGTGTCCTCGTAAAACACAACAGACTACAGCTGAAAGTACATGAATTAATTAAACAAATGCATTTATTTATTTATTTATTTAATATTGTCAAAAACTTACAAAAGAAGCACCAGTACTACTAGCTGTATATTTCCACCCTATTTAAATCAAATTAATAAATGTTAAAAAAATGTAATATTAGAAAAATAAAATTATCCCAAGCACCCAATAGTGAATTTTGTTTTCCTGTAGTATTTTTATTTATTCATATATATTTTTATTTTAATCTTTTAAATAACCAAAAAAAGGCAGTGCTATTACTTTTTATGTTTATCCTATTTAAAGTAGTATCCTATAACAACTTAATTATTATACTAGTCATTCATTCATTTTCTTTCCGGCTTATTAATCTGGGGTCGCCATGGCAAATGAACCGCCAACTTATCCAGCATATGTTTTACGCAGTGGATGCCCTTCCAGCTACAACCTAACATTGGGAAACACACACATACACACTCTTTCACACACATACTGGTCATACACTACCACCGATTTTTTTAATCCAATTCACCTATATGTCTTTGGAGTGTGGGGGAAACCGGAGCACCCGGAGGAAACCCACACACTGTCGCCTCAGCAAGAAGGCCACTGGTTCAAGCCCCGGCTGGTTGTCATTTCTGTGTGGAGTTTGCATGTTATCCCGTTGTTCGCGTGGGTTTTCTCCGGGTGCTCCAGTTACCCCCACAGTCTAAAGACATGTGGTATGGGTGAATTGGGTAAACAAAATTGGCCGTAGTGTATGAGTGCCTGTGTTAGTGAAAACCTGTATGGGTGTTTCCCAATACTGAGTTGCGGCTGAAAGGGCATCCGCTGTGTAAAACATATGCTGGAATAGTTGGCGGTTCATTCCGCTGTGGTGACCCCTTATAAACAAGGAACTAAACCAAAGGAAAATAATCGAATGAATGAACACAACTGCCATGTAGTAAGTGGTAACAACGATTTAAGATATTCTCAAAAGGAAAGTCAATGTTTTATGCAAATTAATTCAAGTAAACTAGTCTTGTTTAAAGAATGCCAGAAGACAAGCCAACAACTATTACACGAATGATATCCTGCACTGAGAACCCATTAACGCATTGACATCCCACTAAAAATGCCACTTCTGAGCTGGACTTTCATGTGTGTGTGTGTGTGTGTGTGTGTGTGTGTGTGTGTGTGTGTGTGTGTGTGTGTGTGTGTGTGTGTGTTTGTGTGTGTGTGTGTGTGTGTGTGTGTGTGTGTGTGTGTGTGTTCAGACGGGACAGTGAGGGGGTTGTTGAACACGGGTGGACAGATGCTCAGCCCTTAAGTCTACCCGGCCACTCCCTTTAATCACAGTAATTATGTGCTGATTAGTCCGGTTAGGTGGCTTTGACCTTACGAGTCTGATCCAACCACTGATTCCAATCTCCAGGATTACGCTGGCCCGCTCTAGTCAATCTTCAGACACGAAACGGAAGAACACGAGCCAGAAAGCAGTCAGGAGACACGACTGACACACTGACCCGCTCACATCAGCCACTTCAAGCCATCCTATTTGTTTTTAAGGATTGAGGCCAGAGATTAGATTGTACCGGAACAAGAATTGGTGCAACTATATGGAATGTAAACAAACTCACTGAATCTGCATTACGTGGAAATAGTACTATAAATACTTGCTTTTGGTTGCTTGGGCTAATTTGGTTGAACGGATTTATTGGTTGCAATGATTCCTTGAAGTGTAGATTGAGCAGATTAGGTGCAGTGATTTATTATACAGTGCTAATAAAAATACTATTGTTAAAAGTTAAACATGCAAATCAGTTTATTTCGTTCATTCATTGGTTTTCCTTCGGCTTAGTCCTTTAAATATCAGGGGTCGGGTCGCCACTACGGAATGAACAGCCAACTATTCTGCCATATGTTATATATATAAATATATATATATATATATATATATATATATATATATATATAAATATATATATATATATATATATATATATATATATATATATATATATAGCCCCTCTTTGAATTTATGTTTGACAGAGCAAAGACATTTTCACAGTATGTCTGATATTATTTTTTTCTTCTGGAAAAAGTCTTATTAGTTTTATTTTGGCTAGAATAAAAACTTTTAATTTAAAATAAAATTTTTTTTTTTACCATTTTAAGGTGAAAATTATTACCCCCTTTAAGCTATATATATTTTTCAATATTCTACAGAACAAACCATCGTTATACAATAACTTGCCGAATTACCCTATCCTGCCTGGTTAACCTAACCTAATTAATCTAGTTAAGCCTTTAAATGTCACTTTAAGCTGTATAGAAGTTTCTTGAAAAATATCTAGTAAAATATTGCTTACAGTATTGAAGTAATTACAATATAGCAGTATAATTACTGTCATCATGGCAAAGATGAAATAAATCAGTTACTAGAAATTAGTTATCAAAACTATTATGTTTAGAAATGTGTAGAAAAAAAAAATTTCTCTGCTAAACAGAAATTGGGAAAAAAATAAAAGGGGGCTAATAATTCAGGGGGGCTAAAAATTCTGAGTTTAACTGTAAAGTGTTTATAGATAGATAGATAGACAGACAGACAGACACTAATAATAATAAATATAATTATATAAATAATAAAAATATAATATAATATAATATAATATAATATAATATAATATAATATAATATAATATAATATAATATACCTTTATAATATAATATATCTATAATAAAATCTGTCTCTAACCTGGTGTTTGGAGCCAGGCCTCTGGGGGCCATGGAGCACAGACAGGGAATGGCCATGATGCTGATATTGAGGAACAGACCTTTTCTGCTCTGCCAGTCACCTTCACCTGACACACAATGGAGAGATGGAATTTATATCAACAGTATCTGTGTGTATGTGTATATACACTATAAGTGCACTTAAATACTTCTAATGTAAAACAGATAATGAAAATGGAAAAGAGCGGCAAAATGAGTACGGAAAATGGGCTCCAGATCTGTTACTAGCTACACTATAAAATGCAGAACCATTCTGGAAGACCATGTCCACCCAGTGGTTCAAACATTTTATTCTGAAGAGGGTGCCATGTATCAGTATGATAATGCACCAATACATACAAGACTGGTGACAGGGTGGTTTGATGAACATGAAAATGAAGCTGAACATCTCCCATGGCCTGCACAGTCACCCAACCTAAACATTATTGAGCCACATTGTGGTGTTTTGGAGGAGCGAGTCAGGAAATGTTTTCCTCCACCAGCATCACATAGTGACCTGGCCACTATTCTGCAAGAAGAATGGCTCAAAATCCCTCTGTGCAAGACTTGTCTCTGTCATTCCCAAGATGAATTGATGATGTATTGGCAAAAGGAAGCCCTACATCGTACTAATGATTTATTGTGGTCTAAAAACCAGGTGCTTCAGTTTCATTGTCCAACTCCTGTATATTCTGATCTCAATTATTTGAAAATTTTATCTCTATTATGCGCCAATTATTATTCTAAATAACGTGTGTTGACCTATTTTATTATGATAACATTATTTTGTTTAAAAAAAATTCACAATAAGGCATTATAATTAAGATTGAAGCTGCTGCACTGCATTATTTCATTTGTTACTTTTCTTAGTGCTTATAGATGATGGACCCTTTACATTTTGCATGGGTCATTTGTGATTACAGCATATTTTACTGAATCGTTTTCACTCCTTCATTCTCTAGTCAAATAAAGCCTATCCTTAAATTTAAATGCAGCCCAAATGGAGAATTTGGTTTTTAATTTGGCCGCTAAACACCCCCTTGAGGAAACCCCCCTTTTGTTTCTCATAGCAAACACTTATTAGCCGCCCAGTGAACCAAATACACACTCTAATATCTAAAAGGAGCTTCTGCTAATTTAACCATACTCACAAATGTCTCCTCCATCTCCGTTCAGCTCAGCTCTGTGTAAAAAGAAGAGATTTTTTTTTTTATATCACAACCATTATCTGTATTTGAGTAATAATAGAGTTGTATGGGTTGCTCTCAGTGTGAAGCAGCCCGCCTTATTAGCATTAGCTGGGTGACCTTCAGCAATCTGATCTCTTTCCAATGGCCAATTAAACAGGGGGTGGTATATTTAAAATAACATTCAAATCATTAAGCTCAAAGTTGGATGGGGATGAGGGATGAAAAAACAAACAAACTTGAAAACACACACTTTTTCTGATCCTCAGCTCCTTTGGCGGTTAAAAAGGACAGTTCACAATCTTCAGGTCTTCACAAACACCATCAGTCGGACACCAGGAAAGAGAACAAACACGTTAGATGGAGTGTTATGATAAGAAGAGGATGATTTCTAAGAGACGGTGCCCATGTGTGCTGTGCCAGGCTGCTCTGACACTAATCCCAGATTTGATGGAGCACCAGCCAGTCCCTTGGAGCCCACCAGATGAGAGACAGCTACAGCTGACAACACAACTGAGAAAGAGAGAGCGCTTACTTGAGCTTTGCCAGTGTTTTAATGAGAGCGAACTCGCGGCGCTGGCTGGGTGGCATCCAGCGGTGTCTCTCTGCCAATGCGAGTGTCCGCCCACCGAAACCAAACATGGCAGAGAAGCCGAACCTCAGCAGACGACCCATACAGCTGAAACTGCACACGTCCACAGGCTGATGGTGACCTAGAACAGCAACCAAAAACAGTCAGAGAAATCAGGTGTCCTACAGAGGGTACAAAAACACCAGCAACAAAGCACACTGCAGCCACAAAGAGTATAAAAAGATACACCTGTAGAATATATCTCTGTTACAAAACTAAGGTGTTGTAATGTAACTAAGAGCTCAAATGCACTGCAAGTTAAAGTCTGCGTGAAATCAAAATTTACAGTCTTTATTTTTCTAGCACAAATTGGGCTCTATTTTAACGATCTAAGCCCAAAGTCTAATTGTGTGTTCACACCGAAGGCGGTAAGAGCATCAAAGTTTGCTCTGGCTGCCCTGGCGACAACGCGGTCTCCACAGCTCCAGCAGTGAGAGTGTCAAAATACGCTACATTGATTACATATTTAAAGAGGCAGTTGCTGCATATCATTACATTCCCACATAAAAAACATGCTTTCTAGCGTGAAAATGTTGCGCACTTTTTATCAAATTCATTTAACAATGGAAGATTAAGTTGTTGCATGTGCTGTGGCTTTGTGCCACTCATCCAAGAAATATTCTGAATTTGTTCATAGTTAGCATGAGGTTCTCGCTTTAAAAAAAAAACAAACTATATATATATATATATATATATATATATATATATATATATATATATATGTAACATTAATGCACACCAGTAACTTTTTTAGACTATACTACCATGAACTACAGGTTTAGTTCAAAACTTACTCCAACACACACCTGTAGGTTTCAAACAAGCCTGAAGACTCAGTTAGTTTGATAAGGTGTGTTTAATTATTGTTGGAACTAAACTGTGCAGAGCTGCGGCCTTCCAGGAACCAAGTTTGACACCTGTGCCATAAACCACAGATGTAAAATTCAGATCCAAGAGGGCCGCAGTTCTGCACAGTTTGGTTACAACCCTGCTTCAACACACTTAAGCTGCAGTCAAACTGTACATTTCTCCCCACAGATTTCAATTCATACGCACGCGAATGCGTCAGACCGGAAACGCAAGTTCGTGTGACAAGTTTTGCAGTTTGGAAAGTTTAAGCTTAGTGAACTCTGATCTGTGAAATCGCATCACTTGACTGCATGAAACCAACAGAGGAACCAAAAATGACCTTTCTGGACAGTAATTTAAAACATGGACCAATCGCTCGCTTTTTTAATGTCTAATCATCTTGTTTAATCCCGGCCTTTTTCACAGCGCCGTACTATAAAGCACAAGCACAAACTCGAGTGTGACCACAACTTTACCTGTAGGTTTCAAACAAGCCTGAATGATTTAATTAGTGTGATCAGGTATGTTTAATTAGGGTTGAAACTACACCGTGCAGAGATGTGGCCATCCAGGAACTTGATTTGACTTATGTGCCATAGACAATAAGAGAAATTGATGAAGATAACTTATCTAACGCAACAGTAAAAAAAAAATATATACACAAACATCAAGGAACTGTCCAACCAGGATTTTAAAATAAACAAAAAAAACACCTGTCAGATCTCCGACAACACCGTAAACTGGAATCAGTCACGTACATGATATTTTTGGGATCCAACAACACATTTCCATTGTGGTCTGAGCTATTTCTGTATTTGCATGTGCTGTGAGAATTCGTGAGCATGCATGTTTTTTTTAATGTATTAGTGTTTTCTCCTTTTTTTGTTAGTGTTTTTGCATTTATGCTGTCACTGCCAACATATTTAGGGCCCATCATAAAACAGACACAATACAATGGCTGTGACACAACTGTTTTCACAATAGTTTCACTTCAATGCAGTCATCATTTTCACGTCCAGCGCCATGTTGTTTAATAATTAAATGCACTTGCACCCATCTGTTCGCCCATGGGCTGCTGGTCTGAAAACCAGGTGTGTTCAGGTGCATTAGTATACTGAGGCAAGAGAAAATGACTGTGCCATTGACCAACTACTGTGAAACCTGGACTTAAGTCAATAGCACAGTATTTATAGGCGGGTACACATCTGCCATGATGACAGGAGGGGTTAGATACTCTGTGTTGTGCCTACAGTAACATCGCACCTTACCTGTTATACAGTAAATACACAATGGCTTCATGAAGATTATAGCTTTAAAGGGGTGGTCCACTATGATATCATATTTTATACTTTAGTTGATGTGTAATGTAGCTGTGTGAACATAAACAACATCTCTGAATGTAATAGTTCAGTGCAGAGGGAGACATTGGCTTTTACAGAGTTAGCTTAGCAAAGCCCACAATGAACAAAGTTTGTGGACTACTAAAATACATCCGGGCTAGTGAGATCACAAGGGTTTTTGGTTACGAGCATTCACCACGCGCATACACCCAGCGCAGCAAAAGGCACGTGGGCAGGGGCGCTGTAATGTAACAGCACAGAAAGCTAAAATGCCGTCCAAAAGCTGCTATTTTCACAGAGCATGTTCTGTTTCTATATTTGGGCTTCCAAAGGGCACGACACAAAAAGAAAAGTGGTTACAATTTAATTTAAATTATGTTTCAGAGAATTACAAAAAATATATAGCTAGCATTTGACAATGGGCACAGTGGCGGAGCTACAATTTTTTACATGGGATGGCCAGGGGGTGGCCACTGCTATTTCAGGGGATCCAAACACACGCGCACACACACACACACACATTGTGCACCCGAAAGGTCTGTCCTTTCCACAACGTGAGCAAAACTGTGGTCATTGAGTGTGTAAAGTGTCCAACATGACACACTTTATTTTACCGGCTGAATGGGTGCATCATCCGGGTAATTAAAATGCACTTATTATTTTCAGTTGTATAATTACATTATTTTTCAGTGTGAATGCACTACTTACATTATTTTTACTACAAAATGGCGTAGAATAGTGCATAAGCATGCAATTTGGAATGTACCTTATGTAAAAGACTCTTGTCTTTTATTTGATTTCATTTTAGAGAGCAGGCGTGAAGTTCAGCTGTGTCTGATGTTCTGTCTGATTCAGGCCAAACTAACAGGGCTAACATTAACATTATCTATGTTTCCATCCACCTATTTTATGCACATTTTGCACATCAGATTACATACATTTTAAAAGTGTTTTTATGCGCATAACTGAGTAGTATAAACTTTTTATTCAAAAAGAAAAGATGCGCATGAACTATGAGGGAAACACTTTTACTGCACAAATTTCAGTATGCGCATTAAAAAAAGGTCATGTGATTTTGAGATAAGAGATCATGTGATGATCAAAATGTGTGTAAATGGAAAAACCAGCAGGCTGAGCACACTGTAAACCAGGGGTGACCAACCCTGTTCCTGGAGATCTACCTTCCTGCAGATTTCAGTTGCAACCCACAACAAACGCACCTTCCTGTAATTATCAAGTGCTGTTCAGATCCTAATTAGTTGTTTCAGGTGTGTTTGATTAGGGCTGGAGCTGAACTTTCCAGGAAGGTAGATCTCCAGGCACAGGGTTGAGCACCCCTGCTTTAAACCATCAGAACACTTCTGACACTTTCAGACGCCACCGCGCGTTCACTGCATGTCAGGATTCGCCTTCTAAGGCACAAGTCATTTATTAGATGAAGAAAAGATTGATGCAGCTTCTCCTACAGCAATGAATTCAGTTTTTACTGTTGATATTTGGCGCCAGATAATCAGGAAGTGACGATTTTGTTAGCTTTGACTCATTGGATGTAAAAGCACAGCATTTACACAGCACAAAAGCACATGCGTGTAGGGGCATGACGCTTTTCCGTGAAGGAGCCGATCCATGAATCACAGCACATGTTAGCACAGCATATGTTAGCTGACCAATCAGAACCTCTTGAGGGTGGGCCCTTGAGAGTTCAATTCAATTCAATTCAATTCAGCTTTATTTGTATAGCGCTTTTACAATGTAGATTGTGTCAAAGCAGCTTCACATAAATGGTCATAGTAATTGGAACAGTGTGGTTCAGGTTTTAGTGTTTAAGTTCAGTTCAGTTCAGTTTAGCTCTGTTCAGTGTGATTTAATCATTACTGAGAGTTCAAACACTGAAGAGCAAATGAGAAATGCAGCACTCCTTCTTAAAACTCACACCTCGTTTTAGTCAAAACTAGGAAAATGACAGTCGTTTTCATGTTAGCTGAGTAGCTGTGTATAATCAAAGGAGGATATATGAAAAAAATTGCCATTTTCTACAAGTGAAGCATGAGCACACATTGCTTTGCATCTTTTAAACTCAAGCAAGCCTTAAAAATACACTCTCTTTACTCTACAGCTTACGATAAACCTATGAGCGTTTCAATGAGCATATTTAGAAATTATTCTAATAGGCTAGATTGGCCTTCAAGAAACTGTAATGTGATGCCTTGATTAATAGGAAAAAAAACTCAATGTATTTACTGTCATGCTGAATTAAAAACAAAAACACAAGCCAAACTTTTGAATGGTAGTGCATAATCAAAATGCACGCATATGTAGATATTTAAGAATATGCATATGCAAATGTGCACCATATAATCAACAAATTTAATTCTAGTCCATTAGAAACAATAGAGTCATCTATCAAGTGTCAATGTGACATCTCTCGAGTTAATTCCCTGCATATGTCGGAGTGAGCTGGAACGAGTGGATCTGGTGGCCCATTGGTTGAGTCCAGTCCCCGTCGCCCGGCACATTCCTGACCTCCTTCTGTCTCCCCATGCATACGCTCTCCCCGCTCATGAATTATTCATCAGATCCTTCCAAATCCCGCCAGTTGGCCTTATTCACATGCGTAAATATTGCTTAATTAGAAATGAACAAGCCCTATATTGGCCCTCCTAAATAGGCATTACGCTCTCATTCGTGTCAGGTGTCCTGTATGCCGTTGATGTTTCTCTTTTGCCTCACAGCAACAAAAGCCAGGCATTTTGTGGAGTAAAGAAAGGCAAAAGCATGTTTCTTTTATTCACTCCACTTAACATAAGATGGCTAATGCATGTCGGAAAGTCTTCCAAGGAAAAGCTGTCTTTTGTTGAGCGAGTGCCTGCACTGAGCTCAGCGGTTCGTGCCG